TTTCCCGTGAGCAGGAGCGCGCACGCTTCACTATCCCGCAAGCCCTGCTCAGCCCTCGGCCTGCACACCCTATCGAACGCCATCAGGGCCGCGGGGATAGCCTCCCGCGAGGGCGTGCGTCCGAGCAGCGAGCTCAGCACCAGCGCTTCTTCGAGGCCGAGGACGGCGCCAGCGCCGGGGAACAGATGGATCGCGTGCGCGGCGTCGCCGATGAGGGCGGTTTTCTGGGTTACGTATGTGTGCGCGGGGGGGTGCTGCATTTGCGATATGCCGGTGAGCTGGATGGTGTATACATTCTGGATGAGCTGCATGGGGGGTGAGCGTTAGCAATAAGATCGGTAGCATTCCTATAGGCAGAGTGATGGTGGTGTGTGGTTTATAATACATGTGCTAGCGCGGACTTACCTCGACCATCCCCTGACACACCTGGAGTTCGTTCTTCGCGAATGCGGCGCGGAATTCTCCCGGGGTGAACAGCCGGGCCCACGTGTTATCCTGTGCAGGATCGTCGTCCCGGCGGATGTAAGTGGAGATATGGACCTCCTTTCCGTTGTCCTGGAAGTTATGCCGCATCATGTTACCGTCACCGATCCAAATCAGCTGTGTCGGGTTCTTGGGGTCGATGTAATTGGCTCCCATCGCTTCTTTCGCTTTTAACAGGGGAACCTTGATCGGTAGGCCCCAAACATGCGTATGCTCTGGCTCCAACGCCGGGTCCTCGGCGCCTAGGACGTGTTTCCGTGTGATGCCGTGAATCCCATCAGCCCCTATCACTACGTCGTATTTCTTCTGTGACCCGTCAGCGAAGGCTATGTCTACGCCTTCGCCATACGGTAGCTCGGTAATGGATGCTGGCCGTGTGTTGGTGTGGACCATGCGTGGTGGCAGTCCTTTCAGCAGCTCGTCCATTAGAGCCTGTTGACTGACTGTTCTTTGGGTAGAACCCCAAAGCCCCTTGGTATCCTCTATCTTCTTCCCAGCATCTGGGCCAGTGGCAAGCCGGATCTCTGTAATGCTATCGACAGCTCCAGCATGGTCGAGACAACGATCCAGTGAAGGATCAACAGCACGGAGTAGATTGTCAGTGTTCTGTATCAACACAAGACCCAAGCCAGCTTCCTTGAACGCAGGTCGCGATTCATATATGTCAGCTGCAATATGGGGATATCTCAAAAGTCCTCGGAGAAGAGCAATTCCCGCCAGCCCACCACCTAGAATCGCAACCCGTATTGTGGAAGGGGGGCTACTCATTGCGGTTGGAGTTCTATGGCACTAAATAATGTAAGTTGACCATTTGGTAAGAAAAGGTAGTAATAAATATATCGAGTCTTACACACGTCTGAATTAAAAGAAATGGGGCTTTATCGAGTAGAAGACAAATATCTCAGGTATTCGTATCTAATATCTGGTTTCCCTTGTGATAACTGTCTTTCTTATCACCCAAGCTCATGCCATAGAACTTGTTAAGTAAATGATGATGTACGTGAATACTAGTGAAAACAACCGACTCAACATGGCGCAAATCAAAGAGGTCTTATATAAATCGAGTAGTCTTTGCGGTTGCGTTGCTAGCTATACATACCCAACCTCGCCCTAGCGAACATACAGGTTACGTTATATAGTCCATTTCGTTTCTCTCTATCTACAGGAGCCCTCTGAGGTATGAAAAGGTATGAATTGATCTTACTCATTATCCTTAAAAGACGAAGTACATTGTGAGGCTCACGTATTAGCCAAGCAGGTTGGCCGTGCTTACCATAAGAACATATAATACTACATTGCCACGTTCCTGTAAAACAACTTAAAGCTAGGGCGTATTTGACGTGGCCCCGGGAGACAACATTGGGAGTGTTCGTAGGGCTGAACAACAATCCCTTGATTCAGACCACGGGACTAGAACAGGGATTTAGCTATTTCTGTATACATAGTAGAATGAAACCGATCGCGTAGACAAATTAAATCAGTGCTTACAGGATTGATTATGGTAGAATCGGCCTCTGCCGAGTAGGGCTTTTAAAATCCCTGTCCTGGTTTCGAGGCCCAACTGGTACCGTGATTGGTTGAGCCCTTTTTTCCAGCATTATAGTATAAGGCGCAGCGAAAATCCGATCCAGGAGCAAGAAAATGGATCTTGCTATGAGCCTCTGAGGCACGGCTGTGGTATATCTAATTCAAGCAGTATTCTGGAAGCCGAGGGTGAGAACATCCTTTTCGGATTCTTATTGTTGCGATTGGTCAATTATCGAAACTTTTGAAAGCCGCAAGATGGAGTGAAGGACGATCCCTTCAGGCATCAAGATATGCAGATCCCCCGAGACCAGCCCTTGCGTTGTCTGGGATATAATGCATCATCGGCTTTGATCGATCGCATCCTTGCGTCACATTTCTCCGATTCTGGCCCCCATTCAACCACCTCGTGGTTTTTCTGCACTAGACTCTATTGATTCCCTCCCTCAAATAGCTCAAGTAATCATGTTCTAGAATGAAAAGTGGGATTCATCTGCGAGGGTCCTCCAGTTGATGGATTCGAGGAATAAACCAAGCATCCGAATTGCCGGCCATAGCTTCATCCTGATGAAGATATATACCCATGTTTGTTCATGCTACAAAGACTCTAAATAAACCTAGATACTCGTGTCAGCTGTGATGTATTAGATCATAGGTTACGTGGCGGCTCACACTCTGTCGGGTAGATAAAGGGAGTATTCGTTGTATCAGTCATGGTATCAGAAATACACCGAGTTTGTAGTTATAGTCTCCCACACAGCAACAATCAGATGACCTAAGTTCTTGCTAGGGTGCTCGTGATAGCTAGTATTCCGCTTAATTTATTTTTATTTCATGTGACATGTGGTCTTGTCTTGGTAAACCAACAACACATGCTACAAGTCAGACAAAACCGCGGTCCAACACTCGGTTTTATGAGCTGTTTCATCCTGTCTAGTCAGTTTGTCTTAATACCGTCACCGAAGGCAGTGTCTTGTGGTTCGCAATTCCTAAAAAAGAACGATAGCATTATTAAGAGTACAGTTAAATTTTACAGTGAAAGGGTCCTCGTAGAGTTGTCCAATAGTTGTCAAACTATGAGTAGCCATCTTCGACATGTTAATGGTGTCCATGTACCTAGGTAGTCAACGGTTATATCCCTGATTAGTATACTGATAAATATTTTTACCAACAGACAGTTCTTTTCATAGATAGCCATGTTATATCACGATATTTAAGGCACATGTGATAGGTATATTGGGAAAGAATTCATGTTAGGTTCTATTCATACTCTCTACTAATCAGAGGCACAAGCATACTACAAGCATCCTCAGCTATTATATCAAGATTTTATGTTCTCAAACAAATTCTTACACTCCACATTTGCGACATCCGAGCAATCTGCCTTATGGAAAGGTGCAACGCACTTACAAGCAGCGCAAAACCGGCTGACTAGCCCAGGGCCACTAGCTATCCATCCCATGCAACCATCGGCATGTAAAGGGGCTCTCAACCCCAAACACCACTTGCACTTCAGCGGCTCGCGGATACCACGAAGGGACTTGCTCCTAATTTCAGCCCAACAGCAACGATCATTGTGCACCGGCCGCAAGCCATAACAGATCGGGCAGATCGCCGGGCCGTCGACAGAATACACGATATTCAAGAGCCAGTCGCGCTCCAGGTCCCCACCCACGCAACACGACTCCCAGCGCGAATTGACGGCCTCAGTAGCCCGTAAGCGGTCGCTTGGGGAGCCACAATGAGTGCTCAGCCAAGCGCCCAGGTCCGGCCACTCGATCGAGCCGTCGTACTCCAGCGGCCCCTCGGGGAACGCGCGCCGCTTGTACGCTCTCATGCAGACGCCCAGAAGCGCTATGAGCATCCGCGAGGCGCCCTCGCTGCCAAGGTTATACGCGGCCGCGAAGAAGGGGTCGGTCTGGGTGTTGACGAAGTCGCGGCACCGCAGCATGAAGTCAGCTATATACAAGGCGTTGTGCGTGCTCGGTGGATACAAAGACGGCGACAAACCGGAGGGTCTTCGCCACGACACGGGGGCCTCGAAGGAGTGGTAGTATATTGCGGATGCTTCGTAGACGTGGTGGGCGTGGAGTGCGTTGCGGGGGTGGGACCAGCAGTTTCGTATGAAGTCCCGGAAGATCATATGGATAGCCGGGCAGTGGCATAATGTGATTACTTCGTAAGGGGGGGGGCTTAAAGTATAGTTCTTGCACGCTATAATGGCGGCCGCAACAGAGGGTGACTCGAAAGGATCATCGATATTGATACTACCGTCACTGTTGAACCGAGGAACTTGTGTATTGCGTACCCCTAGTGGACGATCTGTAGGCTCCTCCATATCCTCCATATTCTCCCGATCCTCTAGATTCATAATGTATATGGTGAAATTTATAGTAATAAACTGTGATGCAGACTGATTATAATATACTGGAAGGTTCTTTTATTGTGTGTGTGTATCTGTCGATGAAATCATGGTGTAGGTAACAGCCGACGAAGCCGGGTTACTTATACTCAGAAAATGCAACAAAATGATGGAGTTTCAGTTCAACAATAGTATTTAGATAAGTGGCATTATCATGTGATAGTTCTTTCTAATACATTATTTCTATTGTTATGACAAGAGGGTGATCAGATGCTCAAAGGACTAACCTAGTACCTAGATATAGCCACAAGCATTTATTTTATGAACCAAAGGGCTCCATTCTACACATGGGATTATTCGAATAATTCATAAAGGGATTTGTATCGACCAAGAACCAGACTACTTCATGAATAACATGAAAAGAAAGCAAGGATATAATAATTATGACTTTAACGTTCGAAGGCCAGGATTTATCTAATTATCTATCCGTGTCTGTTTCCTAGGCACCCTACACATACATGTTATTAGAAACTCACCAGGAGCAACCACAGCGCGTAGTACATCACGACAGAGCCAGAGTATCTGGTGACGAAAACATCCTATATTTTCTAGGATCCCAAAAAAAAATGGAGGGCTTCACCGGGATTCGAACCCGGGGCCTCTCGCATTTCAGGCGTAGTAAGAACCCAAAGCGAGAATCATACCACTAGACCATGAAGCCATGGGAGAGTAAAGCATGAGTATCATGTTTCTGATTTTTGTCGCAAAGCTTAAGTTATATATAATACAGACGCCAGACTTAAATCTTGAATCACTGCAGAAAATCATGGCCTAGTCAAGCACTTAAGTAATCACGATATTGGTATGCTTGAGACTGGAACTCCAGCTGATCAACTAAATAACCACATACTAATGCAAAAGTTTCATAACAATAGGGGTTCAGGTTCGGGTAAGTGCAAGGGTTTAGCCTAAATCCTACCAGTCTTTACGTCCCAACCAGGGGGTCGGGGGGAGAAACTAGATAATTGTCACATGTGGACATTGCCGAGAAGGTGTTAAGTAGGGGGTTATGAGGATTAGTTAGTAATACATATGAGTATGTCCAGATGACCAACGTGCATAATGACGAAGATGCCTTAGGCCAGAATATCTGTGTATAAATGGGAGCATATTTATCGATGAGGGATCAGGGAGAACTTGGACCTTCAAGACTCCTTGAGACCATAAGAGAATTATTAGTTGAATATGACTCTTTGCTCCAAGCTATGACACCAATAATAAAGAAGTGAGCCGCAATGATTACTCGGTTATTGTGAGAATCTTTTGATCTCGTAATATAATAGGTTGCCCAACACCTGTTATAACACCAACATGCTGCTAAAGCAAGATAGCACCAACTGCCAACTCAAAACACTCCTCAGCCGTGAGTTAGAGAGTCATACCCCCAATTTCAGGTGTCTATCTCGACCAAATCCCCAACCTCAGAACCCGAGCTTGACGAATATATAGATAGCATATGATATATAGAGCTATTTCAACAATGTCAGGGGTTAGGAAGGAACAAAGAAGGTTCTTGTCTATAGGTAACAGTAACATCCACAGTTGTAGTCAGTTCCTCGCACAACAACGTATTAATTACCTAAGTACATGCTTGGTCCCTCGTGACAAATAATAAGTCAAGCTGCTGTTACCCCTTTTTCATTCCACTGAACTGGGGATAGAGGATACCCTATCCTCAGGTGTATGGTTCTGCGAGGAACTGATGTCGGCTCCTTAAGTGAAAAGAACTGAACGCCAACTTCTGTAAAGCAACACAATATATACATTGAGCCATAGTTCCTGGTTCCCCTAGTGGCCGCGACACTACCACCTCCCACTACTCTACCCCCTTTCCTCTGATTTTCTTATCTCCTTCTCCCCCTTTTCCTACGTACTTGATTTTCTTCTCCAATCTACATTGCACCTCACTTCCCTGCTAGAGCCTATTCGTCCATAACATACCTCCCCTTCTTGGACTTAACTCGTTATATCCCCTAAACCCTCAAAACCCAGTTCTAGCAATGAACCATGAATTGATCAAAATTTGAAAAAAAAAAAAAAAAAAAAGGTATCACAAACAGAAGATCCAAAAACTCCCTCCATATTTCTATTTCTATTTCCATTCCCTCCCATCTATCTACCCACCGCCTCAAACCCTCTATCCCCACCCCCTTTTTTCTACAGCACCCTTTCCTACTCTCCCCTTCACAACATCTAAACACCCTCCACGCATCATCCGTAGATCGCCCCAAAGAATCCTCAAAAATCAAAAGTAACAATAAAATAAAAGTAAAGTAAAAGTATCATATTTTTTATAAGAGCGGGGGTATCTCATCTCATCCCAATGCCTCTGCGTCTACCTCTACTTCTACCTCCACTTCCGCCCCTGCCTATGCATCTTCATATGTCTGCCCATGTCTCTGCGTGTGTATATGATCCCCCCCCTATCCCTATCCCTACTACTTACAATGAACCCCCCCAAAAACCATCTACTAATATCATCTACCACCCATCCATCATTCATCCATCCCTCCCCCCTCTCCCTCTCCCTCTCCTCGCCACCAAAAAGACCCCCAGTTTTCTGTCTCAAGCACTCACGGCTCGAAAACAGAAAACACACCCGCGGAGAAAAAAGAAGGTTCACAACCACAAGCCTCAATCTCACAAAAAGCTACCCCCTTTTGCCCAAATGAAAAGCATCAAACTAAAATGGGTATATATATATACATATATATTTCTCTTCATCTTAACCCCCCAATAAATAATATATCCGTACCCTCCCCCCTGCCTCCCCTCCTTTACAAAGGCGCAAACCCCGCCTCTTCCAGCTGCGGGCCCCTAGGTAGCATCGGCCGTCCTTGCATAGGGAACGGCCAGAACAAGGGGTTCTCCAGGTCCGTGACCGCTACTCTACCTGCTCCTACTCCTCCGCCTATACTTCTACCCCCAACCGGAGCCGCGGCCGCCGACTGCTGATGGTGATACACCGGGTTCGGGTTCTGTCCTTCCTGCTCCGCGTCGTAGCGCTGCGCTAGAACGCCCTCCATGTTCGCCACGCCGGCGGGGTCTTCTCCGTCGCGGTGCTGCTGTTGAAGAGCGGTAGACGTATCCGTGTCCAGTAATGGTGGTAGCTGGTCCTGCCTCGTCGCGTCCCGTGCACCCCAGCTGCATATGAAATCGTCCGCGTTCACGTTCGGCGCGAAGAAGTTGAGGCTGCTCGTCACGGGTCGGGTCAGTCGGTCTGGCTCTTCCGGGCTCCCGGTTCCGCCGCCGCGGTGTGGGATATCGACTTCAATGTTCCACTTCTTAGCCAAGTAGCGCAAGATGTTGAGGGCTTGTTCGGCGAAGTGGTGGCAGGGCGCCATTTCCGTTAAGTCGGCGATACCCTGGTTGAGGGATTCCGCGACTCTGGGATTTAGTTTTGCGGTAGTCGTGCTGGATGGAGAGGCTGGCTCGGGGTCAGCCTCGCTAGTTGATTGTTGTTGTTGTTGCTGAGACTGTGATGATGTCGGGCGATGATGACTGGCTTCCGGGTCTTCAGGCTTGACTGTGGATGGATTCGAAAGGGCAGCTGGCGAGGTTCCCTGAGCGGCTGGACTACTCGCACCAATAGCTAGGTGCATGATGGAAGATGTTAGGACGAAGTATGGTACAAAGGATGGCGTCCGGCGCAGAGTGTAAAGTTGGGAGTAGGACCGCAGAAGACCCTGGATGGCATCTGCGGCTTGACAACACACATCGCGAGGAAGTATCCCGGATCCAATGATGCGGAGCTTGATTAGTGGCCGAAAGAGAAGGAGGATCGCAAAATGGTAGTACATACTATTCACACATGAGTTGGGTTCATCTTGAAAATCAGGGAGAGAAATATGAGACAAGAGTAGCCACCTACTGTGCGAAAAGGACAGCGGGTGTAAAGTTGTGTCCTAACCGAAGGGCCTCGGGTATTCTATCATACCAGTTTAGGTACTGTGTATATATGCTGAGCAGGTCCCGGCTGGTGACCGGTTTGCCAGGAGAATGAAGAACATAGAGAGACTGGTGGACAAGCTCACTGAGCTCGCAGAAGCATTTGTATACCGAGCGTACGTTAGACGGCTGCTCGCATGAACGCTGGAGGGGGGCACCTGCATAGTGAGATGATTTTAGCCACTGCTTAGTGCCTTTTGCGACGAGGACCATATTCCCGCCAGGTGACCACGTACCATCATCTGTGTAGGGTATCCACAAAGAGGCTTCAATATCATCGATGATGGCAGGTTTAGGGGGGAGATGGGGGAAAAGGGAACATTGTGGGAGCGAACCAGTCGCCAGCGACCATGCACTACATGCTTGTGTCAGCACCTGTGGGCAGATCCAAAGCAAATATAACGATAACAACATACTGGTCGAGGGCAAATGCACCCCAAAAAGTAGCGGCCTGAACCGCCATCTCATCCTCGTCCCCATCACCATTAATGCGATGGAGGCCCATTTCGAGGGCGAGCCTCACGCTCTGGCCGGCATAATACCACGACTCGGAGTCTCGCCCACAGCTCGCCTCGCGAATGGACATTATCCCTAAGGCTTGAATCGTAGTTAACGTGTGGTGGTTAGTCTCTCGGTAAAAGAGTCTCAATGCCTCCTTGAAGAAATGATCGCCAGAGGTGCGGGGCTCGTTGGGATTCGCTCGCGTGTTGGGTTGTGTCGAGAACCGACACCCCAAGGCTAGAAGCGCGTTCACCAAAATGGGCGAGCAGTAGCGATTCCGGGCATTCAAGAAATCCTTCAAGAAATGCTCCTTGCTGAGCGAGGCGAAAGTCGGATACTCCCAGCAGAAGTACAAAGCCAGGAGATGTTGCACCAGACCGATGTCCCCGGTCACTCCCGTCCAAGTGGTAGACGGGACCGACGACTCGCGCGACTCTAACGGCGCCAGCACCTGGTCGACACCACGATACCGGCCCCCTTCCGTCGAAGACTGGTCTTGGAGCCACAAGCCAACACGAGAACGAGGAGGCTCGTTAGTCCACTGCATGACGTCGGGGTATGAGTCGCTCCGTTGCGATACGCTTTGGCTCTGGGAAGAGAAGTTCCAGGGGCTGTTCGAATCGAAATCTTGCTTGACGCCAGGCGCTGGGGGCGCTGGCGCAGTGGCCGAACTCACGCCCAGAGAACCAAACCCTCCAGGGCCCCCAGGACCAGATAGCGTGGCGCCATAGCTTGACAGAGGAGGCAACGTGATGCCGGCTCTAGCATCGCCTGGCTGGGTAAAGCTAGGCATAGCGCCACCACCAGAAGGCAGGGTTCCGCCGAGCCATTCGGAAATATTCTCAACGGACTGGCCGTTTCGCAGCCTGCGCAAGACTTCCTCCCATAGTTCAGGTCTGACAAGAGCAGAGAAGACGCTGTCGCTTTGTTGCTGCTGCCGTCGCAGAGTTTCTATCTCGTTACGAAGGTTCTCCTTCGACTGGCGCACGGGGATTTCGTAGATGCACTCGACATCTTTCTGAGACTTGCACCTGCTACAGGGCTTCTGACCATCGCACTACGGTTTGCACAAAGTTGTGATCAGCTAAAAAATACTTGAGCAGTATGGTCTAGAGTATTACGCGTAGCGAGACAGGACCAGGAGCGACGGAGGAGGCATTGCGACAAGGTGGATTCGAGCTTGATTATATGTATATATATACCTTGGCACGC